CTTCCAGAACAGGCCTGTTTCATCACAATTAAACACTTGTTCAGTTTCAGTCCTTCACTGTCTATGTACTCCTTGAATTCCTGCACATATTTTTTCAGCCGCTTTGTGGTCCGAACTGGCAGCCTCACCATGCCTTATCACACTATGGATGCCACTACGCTTCTTAAATCTCTCAAACCAACCTTTGCTGGCCTTAAATTCACTCACATCATCACTAGTTGCAGGCATTTTTTTAATTAAATCCTCATGCAACTTCCTAGCCTTTTCACATATGATCGCTTGAGAGACGCTATCTCCTGCTAGCTGTTTTTCATTTATCCACACCAATAAGAGTCTCTCAACATCTTCCATCACTTGCGATCTTTGTTTCGAAAACACAGTTAAACCTTTGGCAAGAACAGCTTCCTTGATTGTCTTCTGGTGCCCACAATAGTAGTGATGGTTGATTGGGGTTTCTTGTACAACTTGACTAGGTCGGCGATACGCACATCCACTTTCATACTTATCAATGATCTCTTTCTTTATTTCTATTGGAATTCTCACCCTTATTGGTGTACGGTTGGCACTAGAAGCTTTCTTGGGGCCCATGGTCACTTATTTTCCAGAAACAGCACCGAAAACACTGTAATAATACGAAATATTCCGAGTGTATGCTTGGATGTTACCGCGGAGGCTGGCTGGTAAACAATGGCACGGGCGGCACATGTGAGGCTGGCTGAGGGCGCACATTGGACGCGTCTCGGACGAAAATCGGTGAGAGGGTTTTTAATCGGTATGCGCGGCAAAATTTTTGCGATTAAAGCAAGCGGTATGCGGATTAATCGCTATGTGATGCCATCGTTATGCGGGGGTCCACTGTATTTAAAAAAATAGGTAGTAATATGGACAGAGAAAGTATCGATTCAGCTAATATTTAAGCAAACAATAGTAAATAAAATTAGATAAGGTGACTTATGCTTACTAGTAAAATCACAAAATGAGGTAGTTGATTATTTAATTACTAAGAGATTGTACTACGAGATTTGAACAATAATGGAGCAAAACATACACTACATTACGTAGGCTTTTAGGTTGGACATTTAGTTATTCTCTGTAAGATCAGTATCCCTGAGAAATCGTGATAGTTGACCTACATTTGTTTTCCTAACTAGAATTTTCCCATCCCGTGTGAAGCATTGGTGATTGTGTCATTAATCTCCCGTTAAGTTTTCTGACTCTATACAGGAGGTTCTGACGTTTTTTGGTAAGACACTCGTTTATGTATACCTCTTTCTTTACTTTAATAGATGCAATAATTAAGTCTTTTTTCCTGTCATGTGAGTGGAATCTAAGCATAACACTTTTTCTACCATGGGATCCTAGTAACCTGGCTTCTTTTATTTCTGACTCTGGTACAATAACACTTGTTTGGTCCTTTATGATCTGCAGAGTAATTTCTTTACTGTTTGTTTATTTCATATCACTGGGAAAAAGTGGACTGTTAACTATTACTGCGTCCGATAGTTTATCTTGCTCAGTTTTATCTTCTTGGAGAGCAAAGTAGTCACTGAACTGGTTATCTAAGTTGTTCTTCCATTCTTTTACTGCTTCTTCAACCTTTGTATTAAGAGATATTATTTGTTGGGTATGGCTATCTATGACTGTTTGGATGGTCTTGTCACAGTTAGTCATTCCTGGTGTTGATAATTTGTTCAAGACTGAGGATTTGTTCTCGAGTTGTGTCATCCTGGTGTCTTGTTTTGTTAGTGTCTCTCGAAGATTCATATTTTCAATAACTAAGTTGGAGATGCATGTCTTTAGGGTACCTGGATCGTTGGTCATACCTGAGAGACTACTTGGTAGGTTGAATCCGGGGAAGAGAGGGGAGGATGGGCTGGTGGCAGCCATGTTTGTTGTTATTGTTGTGGTGTCGCCTTGAGCGGTGGTGAGTGGGGTGGTTGCTGGGCCGGCGTCCTCCTGGCTACACTTGTTGAATAGTTGACTTTTCGGCATTTTCTTGCTGGCCTTGGTGCTGTTTCCTCTTAGATTGCGCCTCATAATACTACAGGAATTGTTGTAGTTAAGAAGAAGTTGTAGTTATATAAAGCTTAGGGTTACGTTGTTCGGCTGGCAGCGGGGTGTTGCTTTCGGTTTGTGGGCAGTCTTCCTTTCATCTCTAATATTTTCGATTTGTAGGTATGGGTCTGGGTGGTCAGTGTGTGCACTTTAGAAAAAATCTGGATACCCACATGGCATTGTGGAAATGCCGCCAAAGTGGCTTTTTTCACTATGCCTGGCGGCAAGGAAGCTCTCCCTCCCCGGGTGAATTCTGACTCTCCTCTTCCCAACTTACAGTTCTAAGACTGACGAAAGTGGATCTGAAGAGAAATTCTATGGTTCTGAACCATATGGTTCATTGTACCTTATGGTACAATAGTACCATGTGGTACAATGATGCCATACACAATGGTATATGGTACATTGGTATCATATGGTACAGTGTACAATATGGTACAGTGTACAATATGGTACATAGTACCATATGGTACATTATACCATATGGTACATTGTACCATATGGTACATTATACCATATGGTACATTGTACCATATGGTACATTGTACCATATGGTACATTATACCATATGATAAATTGTACCATATGGTACATTGTACCGTATGATAGTGTACCGTTTGGTACAGGGACCGTAATGGAAATACGTCTTGTCTGACTTTTTTTGGTTATAATAGGTCTCCAAACATATGCTGCTATGATAATCTATGTAACTTTATTTGTGTATACCTAATTAAACTTACTTAGGATGCCACATGTGCTTGAGTAAGTTTATTCAGGTGTACAGATATACAGTTACATAGATTATCATACGTAGCAGCATATGCATAAAATCCTAGGATAACCAAAAAAAGTCAGGGTGACTTATTTCCATAGGGATCCCTGTATCTGTACCATATGGTGTCTTGTACTGTATGGTACCCTGCACAATATGGTGCCCTGCACCTTATGGTACCCTGCACCATATGGTACCCAGAACCATATGGTACCCAGAACCATATGGTACCAAGAACCATATGGTTCCCTGCACCATATGGTACCCTGCACCATATGCTACCTTGCACCATATGGTATTCTGTACCATATGGTACCATGTACCATATGGCCAGTAGGTGGTGTTGGTGCCACGAGGCACCACCCAGGAGTGAGTGGGGACACAAGCTCCCTGACTCAGCAGTTTCCAAGACAAAGCGCTTCATCATCCACCTCAAGCAACATGTCCAGTGGCTGTACATATGTAAAAATATATGATAGAACATTACTAATATACAACATTTTTGCATTTTTTGTTGTAAACAATTATTGTAAATGAAATAATGATGAAAATATTAGTGCAGTTATTGTATTGAATACAACAGTACCACATAGTACCATATGATACAATGTACCACAATGTATCATCATACCATATGGTACTATTGCACCATTTAGTACCACTGTACCATGTGGTACCATTGCACCATATGGTACTATTGCACTATATGGCACATTGTACCATATGGTACCATTGCACCCTATGGTACATTGTACCATATAGTACCATTGCACCCTATGGCACTATTGTACCATATGGTACTATATAGCAATGAAATCACGAAACAAGTGATTTTAAACCATTTACCAAACTGAGGCAGGCCAGGACTCGACCCTATGAACCTTGTACCGCCTCCAGAGACAGAACAATGCATGCATCGCCTTACCACTACACCACTGATCCTACAAGAACCAAGCACACAGCACATAGCTATGTGTTCGCCTTGTCCCGAGGACACTCATGGCAATGGTATCTCAAGGATTAATTTCAGCCTCATCCTGTTTGAATACCTGCCTCAACAAGCAGTCTATATAGTAATGAAATCACGAGTCCTGGCCTGCCGCAGTTTGGTAAATGATGTAAAATCACTTGTTTCGTGATTTCATTGCTATATAGACTGCTTGTTGAGGTGGGTATTCAAACAGGATGAGGCTGAAATTAATCCTTGAGATACCATTGCCACAAGTGTCCTCGGGCCAAGGCAAACACTGTGTGCTTGGTTCTTGTAGGATCAGTGGTGTAGTGGTAAGGTGATGCGTGCATTGTTCTGTCTCTGGAGGCGGTACAAGGTTAGTAGGGTCGAGTCCTGGCCTGCCGCAGTTTGGTAAATGATATAGTACTATATGGTACCTTTGTACTCAACACAACTGCACTAATATTTTCATCATTTTGTTTACAATAAACTTGTAGATAAGTTTTGTAAGCAATATAGTAATGATAAACAAATTAGTGCAGTTATTGTGTTGAATACATTATATTGGTCTCACAGGCCACAAAAGTTACTGGAAAAAAATAAAAGAAAAGAGAAAAGTAACAAAAACCTAAAATAAAATAATGAGAACTTATGGAAGTCGCAGATGTTGGCACCACCAGGTCATTGAGGGTCAACTTCACACCTCTATATCTCGGTAACTACCGATCGAAAAAATTTGTTTTGTTTTATTACCTACAGAAAATTATCTTTAATTCTGTAAGAAAATAATTTTTTGTTTTTTTCAATAATTCTTGGACCCTGGTGCACCTTCTGAGATTTGGCCTCTGGACTCTGAAAGGGTTAACAGCATCTAAAATTTGCAGTTTTTCCAAATTCGCTGGTGGTCTTTGAACATAACCCCCGCGAATTTTGGGGGACTATTGCATAAGTTTTTTTTTTTTTAAATTTTAGGTTAAGCTAAGTTCTGCCTGAAATTCTGTTCAGCCTATGGGTCTTTAGATTATTATATGTTTTATACATTAATTTTGAAATAAAGCTTTGTATTTTTATTCATTCATATAAAGACTAGCATATGAAAAAACATTTTCATCATTTTGCATTCTCTGCTTGAAGAGAGAATTACAGTAAGAAATATCCTGGCTACATTTTTCATTGCCTGGTTTTTGTGGGTGATTGGTACTAAGTTGATTATATTTACAGGCTTGATAGTGGGTGCCATTTTGAGGTACAGTGGAGACAGCACGTCCTTAACCCACATGAGAGTCGAGTCAGAAGACACAACTTACAATGACAACTTACCACCTGACTCATTGTGGCTCAAGTACACTCGAGGTAAGTTGTGCCTCTTGTATACTTCACACTCTTTAAGGTAGGTGCTGTGATGCTCCTGAAAAGTTCTTCATCCAAAGAATTGGGAGCTACCCTCTTTCTGTCCATCATACAGTGGGCCCTCAGGTAATGATGCCATCGGATAGCGATAAAATCGGATACCGATGCGTTTTTGTGTAAAAATATTGGCTTGGCCAACAATGAAAAACTCAGGCATTCATCCCGAACATGTCCACACGGCCTGTGCCCATGTAAAAGGTAGTGTGCCATTGTTTACAAGCCAGGGAGGACGATTCCACACGTACATGTGATATATTTTGTATTCCATTGTTTTTAGTGCTTGTAACTAGTAAATAAGCCACCATGGGCCCAAAGAAAGTTTCTAGTACCAGCCCTGTGATAAAGAAGGAAAGAAACAATAAAATTCAAGAAAAAACTCGTAGCAAAGTACCAAAGTGGAGGAGGAAGAGAGAGGGGTGAATGTGCCTTCTGCAGTGACAGTGATTCTACGATATGTACGATACTAAAGCAGCAGGTATTAGTAAAGGCTATAGTGCCAGCCAGCGATAAAGTGTAGAATTAACAGTGTAGCAAGTAAGTTAAGTAAGCAATAGAAAAACAACTCCAAAGTAACTCTCCAATGTTGTTGTGTGTGTATCGTGCCGCTGAACATACGCCAGCCTTTACATATCTTCCACCACTCTAAACCTCTGCCAGCATCTCCTCCATCAAACTAATTAAACTAACATCTCCTCCAAGATAAGTGTAAATATAAAAGTGTAAATATAAGTGTAAATATAAAAGGACCCCAATGGAAATATGTAAGTCACTCTGACTTTTTTGGGTTATCGTAGGTACTTTACACATATGCTGCTATGTATGATTATGTAAGCAACTGTATTTGTGTATACCTGAATAAACTTACTTATTTATACATTAAAATGTAAGTATTTCTTATTTATAAATTAAAATGTAAATATTTCTTATTTATGAATTAAAATGTAAATATTTCTTATTTATAAATTAAAATGTAAATATTTCTTATTTATAAATTAAAATGTGAATATTTCTTATTTATAAATTAAAATATAAATATTTCTTATTTATAAATTAAAATGTAAATATTTCTTACTTATAAATTAAAATGTAAATATTTCTGATTTATAAATTACGCTCATATATTGTTTGTGGATAGTGGTGGTGGCAGAAGCTTGTACAGCTTCTCTCAGTGGCCATTATAAGCCCAACAACAACACTTCTATCACTTATCCTGACATACATTATGACATATTTTATTCATTCTAGAGTACAGTGGATCCTCGGCTAACGATATTAATCCATTCCTGAGAGCTCATCGTTAGATGAAATTATCATCAGCTGAATTAATTTTCCCCATAAGAATTAACCCTTTCAGGGTCCGTCCCGTAGATCTACGGCTTTACGTTCAGGGTCCAAACCGTAGATCTATGCCAAAATTCTAGCGGCGTCAAATTTAGCTCAAGAAGGCTGGTAGGCCTACATCTGAGAGAATGGGTCTGGGTGGTCAATGTGCACACCATAGAAAAAATCTGGACGCCCGCATGGCATTGTGGGAACGCCGGCAAAGTAGCTTTGTTCATTGTGCCTGGCGGCAAGGAAGCTCTCACTCCCCACTCACTCTCCGGGCGAATTCTGACTCTCCTCTTCACAACTTACAGTTCTAAGACTGATGGAAGTGGAGATGAAGACGAATTCTATGGTTTTGAACCATATGGTACCATTGTGCCATATGGTACAATGGTACCATATGGTACAATGGTGCCATGTCATACAATGGTATCATATGGTACAATGGTATCGTATGGTAGAGTGATATCATATGGTACAATGTACCATATGGTACAGGGTACAGGGACCCTAATAGAAATTAGCCTGTCTGACTTTTTTGGGTTATCCTAGGTTCTCCAAACATATGCTGCTAAGTATGATATTCTATGTAACTTTATTTGTGTATAACTAAATAAACTTACTTATGATGCCACATGCACTTGAGTAAGTTTATTCAGGTGTACAGAAATACAATTACATAGATTATCATACATAGCAGCATACGTATAAAATCCTTGGATAACCCAAGAAAGTCAGGGTGACTTATTTCCATAGTTATCCCTGTATCTGTACCATATGGTGTCCTGTACTGTATGGTACTCTGTACCATATGGTACCCTGTGCCATATGGTACCCTGTGCCATATGGTACCCTGCATCATATGTTATCCTGTACTGCATGGTACCCTATGCCATATAGTACAATGTACCATATGGTACCCTGTAACACATGATACCATGTACCATATGGTCAATAGGTGTTGGTGGCATGAGACACCAGCCAAGACTGAGTGGCCAAGCAAGCTAACCACCAACTCCACAGTTTCCTAGACAAAGTGCTTTGTCATCCACCTCAAGGAACACGTCAAGTTCCTGTTCACTTGTAAATGTATAATAGAGCATTACTAATATATAACATTTTTGCATATTTTTGTTGTAAACAACTATTATAAACAAAATAATGAAAATATTAGTGTGTTTATTGTGTTGAATACAACAGTACCATATGGTACAATGAACCATTATGGTATCATTGTACTGTATGGTACAATGTACCATATGGTACCTTTACACCATATGGTACCATAAGGTACCATTGCACCATATGGTACCATAAGGTACCATTGCACCATATGGTACCACTGTATCATATAGTACCATTGTACCAAATGGTGCCATTGTACCATATGGTACCATTGTATCATATGGTACCATTGTATCATGTGCCATTGTACCATATGGTACCATTGTATCATATGGTGTCATTGTACCATATGGTACCATTGCACCCTATAGCACCATTGTACCATATGGTACTATATGGTACCGTTGTATTCAACACAATAACTGCACTAATATTTTCATCATTTTGTTTACAATAAACTTGTAAACAAGTTTTGTAAGCAATATAATGATAAATTAGTGCAGTTATTGTGTTGAATACAATGAGTGTACACTTATACAATATGCATTATATTGGTCTCACAGGCTACAAATGTTATTAGAAAAAGAAAAAAATTAGAAAAGAAAAGAAAAAAGTATAAATGTAAAGTAAAAAAAAATGGGATTTGCGGAAGTTACTGATGTTGCCGCCACCTGGTCATTTTGGGTCAACTTCCCGCCCGCTGTATCTTGGTAAGTACTGATCAGAATTTTTTTTTGTCTTATTACCTTCACAAAAATATACTCTTTAATTCTGTAAGAATTTTTTTTTTTTTTTTTTTTTTTTTTTTTTTTTTTTTTTTTTTTTTTTTTTCAAAATTTCTTGGACACTGGACCACCACTTCAGATTTTGGCCTTGGACCCTGAAAGGGGTTAATGGAAATCAAATTAATCCATTCCTGACACCCCAAAGTATGAAAAAAAAAATCTGCCACATGAAATATACATTTTCCTGCACACAATAAGAAGAAGACATACACAATTACTACTGTACCAAATAAAGAATACATAACGCTTACCTTTATTGAAGATCTGGTGATGATTGATGGGATGGGAGGAGGGGAGATGGTGGAAGTTGTTATTGTTTGGAAGGGGAATCCCCTTCCATGAAGACTTGAGGTAGCAAGACCTTTTCTGGGGTTACTTCCCTCCTTCTTTTAATGCCACTAGGACCAGCTTGAGAGTCACTGGACCTCTGTCGCACAACAAATCTGTCCATATAGCTCTGTACCTCATGTTCCTTAAGATTTTTCTAAAATGGGCCACAACATTGTCATTGTACAAGTTGCCAATGCGGCTTGCAATAGCTGTGTCAGGGTGATTTTTGTTCATAAAGGTTTGCGGTTCAGCCCACTTTGCACACATTTCCTTAATCTTTGAAGTAGGCAACTTCTTCAATTTCTCTCTTCCCTCCTCTGAAGCAGTTTCCTCAGGTGTGCCCTCTTGCTGTTGCAGATGCTCTTGCAGCTCATCAGTGGTTAGTTCTTCATTGTCCTCCTCCACCAACTCTTCCACATACTCCCCACTAACCTCCAACCCCAAGGACTTCCCCAATGCCACAATGGATTCCACAACTGGCATAGGCTTCTCAGGGTTAGCACCAAACCCTTCAAAATCCCTCTCTTCTACACATTCTGGCCACAATTTCCTCCAAGCAGAGTTCAAGGTCCTCTTAGTCACTCCCTCCCAAGCCTTAACTATAAGGTTTACACAACTGAGGATACTAAAGTGATCTTTCCAAAACTCTCTTAGGGTCAATCGAGTGTCTGAGGTTACTTCAAAACACTTGTGTAGAGTTTTTTGAAGTTTGAAATGACCTGCTGGTCCATGAGCTGCAGGAGAGGAGTGGTATTAGGCAAAAACTTCACTTCGATGTAGCTCTTGTCCCCAGAAATTTGTTCTGCCAAGTCTGAAGGATGACCAGGATCATTGTCTAATACCAGGAGGCACTTAAGGTCCAATTTCATTTCCAGGAGGTAATTTTTCACAGTGGGGGCAAACACATGGTGAAACCAGTCATAGAAAAAGTCCCTAGTGACCCATGCCTTACTGTTAGCCCTCCACATCACACACAAATTAGCCTTGAGGACATTGTTTTTCCTGAACTCTCTGGGAGTTTCAGAGTGATACACCAATAAAGGCTTCACTTTGCAATCACCACTAGCATTACCACACAACAAAAGAGTAAGCCTCTCTTTCATAGGCTTATGTCCTGGGAGTGCCTTTTCCTCCTGAGTAATGTAGGTCCTGTTTTTCATTTTCTTCCAAAACAGGCCTGTTTCATCACAATTAAACACTTGTTGGGGTTGCAATCTTTGAGCCTCTATGTACTCCTTGAATTCCTGCACATATTTTTCAGTTTTGGGGTATTGGCAGTTTGGAGGGATATGTTGTGTATCTTTATACGTATATGCTTCTAAACTGTTGTATTCTGAGAACCTCTGCAAAAACAGTGATAATGTGTGAGTGTGGGAT